TCAAAGTAGACAAGCATCTATCGTTCCCCACTCTTCAGAGGTCTATAGATGCCCAGGGACATTTGGGACTCATGAAGAAATGTGACATTATGCACTGACTGCTCCTATGGACTGAGTTTTCTACTGGATCAAGGTAGTGTGGCCTGTGTGCTGGAGTCACAGCCTCAAGACAGGACTGCAGGACATGCTCCAGTGAAGTGATGGTGCCAGTTGCACGTGTCCCCATTTGGGAAATGTGTGTGACTGGTCCTTACATCAGTGCCAAAGATCTGGCAGTCCTGCTGTCAGTTTGCCTTCCTGGACACGATGCAGATTCTTCTCTTAAACCCATGGAGTGTGAGCTGCATTGAGACATTTTCTGCTATTTGGATGTCAGGTTGGAAGTCCCTGCCAGCTCCCCAGCCTGCTCCAAGTCACAGTTAGTCCTTACTAAGGTGGACTTCAACAAAGGCTACAGATACCTTTGAACATCTTACATCGTGTAGCTAGCAGCACTTTGACTGTTCCCCAAACTTGTTCCATTGTCTTCAACACTTCAAATGGGAAGCTTAAATGCTTTTCTTTTTAAATTCTGCTTTTGAAATCTCCAAACTCATCTAGGCAGTCTGCCAGTACACATTTGACACCTTGACTCCAGCTCTTGTACACCTTTTCAGCTGCATCCTCCGGGTGTTCTGTCCACACGTTCCCATTCCCTGTTTTGCTGACCTATGGGATTTTATTTCACTTTTCGACAGGCTAGTAAATAATTCCTTTTTAAAAAAATAAATAAAACCATAACCTTACTCATTCTTTGCTTTCTTCCAACCCAGCTTTCGTTGGACCTTAGAAGTTGCTACAGCCGAGCTTTGGAGAGGTTCATGACGGGTTTTTTTTTTCAGGCTACTGGCGGAACGAGGCAGCCTCTCCTGTCCTGCGCCTCGGACTCAGGCTGCTTTATTTGCTCCCAACTCTTCCCGGACGCTCACCCACCGCATGCGGGCTGCTCTGGGGCACAGCAGCGCTCTCCCCGTCCAGCGCAACAGCCCAGCAGAGCCGCATCCCACCCCACCTCTCCTCCCCCCTTCCCCACCTCCTGCCCCCCCACCTCAGC